GATATCGTCCTCTTTTGGAAGACCAAACAAAGTAGATTCGCTTTGACAACGAAGCACACAGCGTCTTTACGAAATGGCGGCAGCGGCAACAATACTACAGTGAGAATAAAAGTTACGCCTTCTTTCTTTGCATAAACATTTGGGAGGCGTTATGCAAATATTCCCACATAGTGAGGTAGATATGTGGGGGTGTGTTAGAACGAGCCGTTTTAGGTAGGTGTGGCTGACTCTTAACTTTTATAAAGAATATCTCTTTGGATTTGAGACTTTAATCTTTGCAACTTTACAGATCTTCTTTATGCACCAAGAGCTTGTAACACTCCAAATAGAAAAGAAAAATTGAAATCGCATCATATGACCCCTTTAAACTGGCAAAGCTTATATGAGTTTAGCTTAAACACAGATATCAACGTGTGCTGTTCAGGTCTCACCTGTGCGCGCGCACTATCAGCACCCGGGTGATGATGGAATAAATGCTCATATTCCAGCATACGGCATTCGCATTGAACAAGAGTCAATGGTTCGTCCAAGTTTTTTTTTTTTCATCGCTGTTGTTGTAATGTACTGGGAAGCCAGAATGCGCATCCATCAACCGAAACATATATTAGACAAACCCTGTTTGTTTTACGTGTTATTTATAGCAAACCATATTACAGATGCGTTGTCAGATTTAAGTTGAACCGCGGTCCTAGCGCGTGCCGAACCGTGTGTGGAGAACCGTACGGTTCGAACCGTTCCACCCCTATTGTATACAAATAAAAGTGAATCTAAATAATTTTTTTGGTCACTCTTTAGTTTATGGACAAATTCACACTAGTAACTACTAGTAACTAGACTTTTGCCTCAATAAACACTTATATTGCTGCTTATTAATTGTTGGTAAGATAGTTGTTAGGTTTAGGTATGGGGTAGGATTAAGAGATCTAAAATATGGTCATGCAGACTATATGTGACCCTGGACCACAAAAAATCGTAAGTCGCTGGGGTATATTTGTAGCAATAGCCAAAAATACATTGTATGGGTCAAAATTATTGATTTTTCTTTTATGCCAAAAATCATTAGGATATTAAGTAAAGATCATGTTCCATGAAGATATTTTGTCAATTTCCTACTGTAAATATATTAAAACTTAATTTTTGATTAGTAATATGCATTGCTAAGAACTTCATTTGGACAACTTTAAAGGCGATTTTCTCAGTATTTAGATTTTTTTGCACCCTCAGATTCCAGATTTTCAAATAGTTGTAACTCGGCCAAATATTGTCCTATCCTAACAAACCATACATCAATCAGCTTTCAGACAATTTCGAAAAAATTGACCCTTATGACTGGTTTTGTGGTCCAGGGTCACATATGTGCTTTATAAGTACTAATAAACAGTCAATATTCCAGTAATATGCATGCTAATAAGCAACTAGATAATAGTGAGAATAAAATAAACTTTTACCAAATATTTTTTAATGAATTTTACACAATTTTATTTTTTGCACCAGCAACTGTATTTTTACTTATTTGTTTTTACTTCATTTATTTTTATTTTATTTTTTGTAAAAAATAAAAATAATTAATTGTTAATTTAAATCATTTTTACTACAATGAACTGATTATTTCACATTTTAATTGTTGCAAACAGTTGAGAAAGGTCAAAATGTGGGACATGCCAAAATCACCATTTTAAAGGGGGTCACTGTCTCACTGTGCTGGTTCAGGCTATACTAAACATTATATTGCCTTTGGCCACTGGCTGGTACAGAGAAGGTGCAGTTTGTAACACTGGATTTACAGACTTATCAGCAAGCCATGTAAGGTGTACAGTGGGATCAAATGACTACCAGAGCTCTGCGCGAGGTGCTGTGAATGAGAAATGTGGCGCTAATCCTACTAACAAGCTAAAGTATTAAAGTGACTGAAAATGGAGGAATCCCCTTTTGGATTTGTGATGTACACTGGGGTGTCATTAAATCACTGTAAGTGGATGTATGAAAGGAAGAAAAATGTAACCCTTTGGTGCATGGATCAGTCACGAAGTAAAAAAAAAAAATTGCAATCATTCACTTGTTTATTCAACATCCTACAGTTGGATTTAAAAATTCACAAATGCTTCTATTTAGTGTTTTTCTAATTTAATACTTTTTCCAGAGTACAGAGTCACATGATCAGTCACAAATGTGCTCATTTGATCAGAATCTGAAATATGTTTCAACCCCTTTGTATTTTGACACATATGTCCTCTACAATGGACATCATGTAAAGACTGAAAGGGTTAAAAGGAAGAAAGCAAAAGAAAGGTGGGTGTTTAATATGTTCTACATGTTGCTGTGAAAAACATAATGAAGATTTAGTGTGCTGAACAAAACAAGTGAAATACTATAATTTATAATTTAAATGATCTTTCCTTTATTCACACATTTCCCGAATCTAAACACAAAAGCTTATTTCAATGGCCCATCATCAGTCATGCCTAAAGAAGTGAACAAAAACTGAAGAACGAGCAAAAAATAAGGGAAGAGAGTAAAGACGCTTTGGAGCGTGACTAAACACATTCATCCTCTGTTCAAATAGAGGCCTAAGACTGCAGGACTGAGGTATACGGTGGACGAAAATGGTACTAAAATAAAACGGTAGGATGTAAAGCCTCACTCAGCCTGGTTTCCTGGAATCAAAAGTTAAATCTGTAAAAAACAGAGCATCTAATCTTCCCGCAAGGACAAGGTAATGAAAGAATGATGGAAACATTTCACTCAAAATGGGTGAAAAATATGCTGGATGTTTTTCCATTCTGGCATGTGTACAAATGACAAAAAGTTAATATCTGAAGAAAATGAGATTCTGAATTACAGTGAAGATAGAAAGTGTCATTCCATCATACAGGGTGGTCCGTGACAGAGTGGAAATCTCTCTCTCCCACAGACACACACATACACACCATGTAGCACAATATCATATGGCAGGGATGCCATCATTCAAACGCACATCCTCTCATGTTTTCCTGACAGGTTTATACCTTACATAAAAGTTCTCTAACTTATTTCTTGTCATGTCTACAATACAGCTTCCAATAAATGCTTATTTAACTCCCCATTATAGTGACTAACAGGTTTTAAACAAGTCTGCACCATTAAAATACCTAACTTTAACTGAAAATACACCTTATGCATATGAAAAAATCATAGCATCCAGCTGCAAACGCATTGTGCTGAGCCTGCTGAGGCATGGGAGAAAAAGCCCTCATCCACTAAGGACATAATCCCACGTTCATCAAATTGCCTTTACACCTACAAATATTGTTTTTGCAGCTTTCACAGGAAGCATTGTGACGTGGCTTTCAAAATTTCAGGTTGTAGAAAGACTGGACTAAAACATCAGACTGTTAAATGACAGAACCTACTATAGGCTATAAAATAGCTCTAACAAAGCCATGTCACAAACCTCACAAGCTCCAGCCTTTCCAAAGGACAGGAAAAAAAGTGAAATTAATTATCATATTCCATTCTGTGGCACAGACATAGATGAAGTGTAATTGAAACCAAGATCACTCACTCACTCAGCCTCAGTACAGTAAGTAACCGTCAGCCAGCCAACGAATAAGCACATTGCAATGCACAAACAGACCTTCCTGCTCGAGCACTTGATGTGAAAACGGGGCTGGACGGAGGGCACACTCACCCTGAGAGGACCATTAGCGGAGGAGAGGAAGACAGTGAAGGCGTCAGTCTCCCGTGGCACTGGGGCATATCCGCTTCTTTAGGAGCCATGCGAGGCGGCCGGCTGCAGACGAGTTGTTCCACATTGGCTGAAGTGCAGCAGTGAGAGGATTTGCCCGACACCGGAGCTGCAGCGAGCGGACACACATGCAGGGAGAGTGTGTGAGAAGTGCAGCAGTGAGAGGGTTTGCCCGACACCGGAGCTGCAGCGAGCGGACACACATGCAGGGAGAGTGTGTGAGAGCGAAGACGCGCGCTACGTTTAGTGCGTCAAATTGAAATCCCACCACAAGGAGACTTAAGAGATGTGTCCCTCTTGATTTCTCACATTACCGGGAGAGGCACATGTGTGCGTGCTCTGCACACACACACACACACTCAAGCGCACAGACAGTTGGCACGAGCGCGCGCGCGCGCGCAGACGATGTTCCTCACCCGCCGCTGCAGACCCTGTGTGTTTGATAAGAAGAGGGAGAGAGAGAGAGAGAGAGAGAGAGAGATAAATGAGAAAGGAGGGGAGGTTGAGTTTGGGAAGCAAAAGAGGGAGAGAGAGCGGTTGAGAAATGAGGTGAGGGAAGTCCTGTTTTAGTTCCGTTTAGTTGGTCATTTCACATAGGCTATTTTATCTAAGCTTACTAACCCACAAAGCTTATGTAATCGGAGGAGTGGGTGGGTGGATGGGTGTTAGTGGGGTTTTGGAAGATGAGAAGTAATAATACTGACGCGTTTTAATTGGCTAGACCGTGTATTATCACACTGATTACACCTCGTTACAAGATGACATGATTTAAATGAGAAAGAGATGGTGAGATTGGAAGATTACAATGTGGGTGAGAAAAAATCAAATGTAAGGAAGCGTAATTGGATTGTTAATTAACGCGAGTCATCTCTGTGTTTTATAATTACCAGAATTCCTCTGGGGATAAATCAACCTTGTTGTTGCTGCTTCAAACACACACACGACTGTCCTGATCATCCATGCTCACTAATAATGCTAAGTTGTCAAAAATGAATCTTAGATCACGTAAGTCATGTTGAAAGAACAGCAAATGTTTATTTGATTGATTTAGTGTTTTGTTTACTTGCTGTTCTGAAGCTCTAACAAAGTAGGCCTGCTGCTTTTAGGAACACAAGAAATGCATCTTGCTTAGCCATTAGGATAGCCTAAGTCAAACCAAAAAGCATAGCATATGATTTGGATGAATGCATTTTTGTTAGTTCAATACACTGAAGGAATGACCAAGGGCTTACAGTGCTGTTTTTGTTGTCATGTTTAGTAAATTGTGATGTCAGCACGTGTTTTTTATTGTTATTTTCATATTGGAAAAAATTGTGTTGGAGCAGTTAAATGTTTTTTTTTAAAGAGGAATAATATCTTAGATAGATTCCAGTCTGGTTTTAGAGCCGGCCACAGTACAGAGTCCGCACTTTTGAGGGTCTCCAATGATATCTTAAGAGGTGTTGACTCTGGGAGTTGTGTTGTTCTAATTTTGTTAGATCTTACTGCAGCATTCGATACAGTTGATCACGATATACTTATTGCTCGTCTCAAGAATCATGTTGGTGTTCAGGGCTTAGCCTTAAAATGGTCCTCTTCTTATCGGAAGGATAGGACTTTTTCAGTCAGTTTAGGTGATTACTCTTCTTCTACTGCTCCTCTTGTCTGTGGGGTTCCTCAGGGCTCTATTCTGGGACCAATTTTATTTTCTCTGTATATGTTGCCATTGAGTTTTATTTTTGAAAAATTTGGGATTCATTATCACTTGTATGCGGATGATTCACAAATTTACTTACCATTGAAACAGGACCATAAATGTGCTTTGCAGTCTCTGCATCAATGTCTGACAGAGGTTAAGTGCTGGTTGGCAAATAATTTTCTTCAATTGAATGAAAGTGCTTTATAAATAAAGTTTGAGTTGAGTTGAGTTGAGTTGAGCTGAGTTGTTTGTTTGTTCTTCTACTCAAAATGATCAGTTTTTTTGATTATTTCATGAGCGTTTTTAGTCATTAGTGTTCAACACATTTTCATGTGATGTTGTCAGTAGTTTAGGAAAACAAGCACTTTGCTTTCCATTGTATACATTTTTACACGGGAACTTATTTATTCAACTTAAAAAAATTAACATAAGATTTAAATAAAAAAAATTGCTTAATCTAAATCATTTCTACAATTATGGCAGATTTTAAGTGCAACTTGATATTTTAAGTTCAGTTACGACATTTACTTAAAAAAGGCCATGAAAATGGTAGCCTTCATTTTTCATGCCATAAATAAAGTTCATCTCCTCACTCAAAAGTGAAACTGAATCTTTGTTCTTCACTCACTGCCACTGAGATGCACATGAAAAACAAGCTATAACACATCATAAACCTGCTTCAGTTAACTGAGTGTTAGAACCCTTTTACTGTACCTGCATTGGAATACAGCACAGCCACTATAACTGCTGATGATGATCATAATAAATGAACTCACAGTCAAGGATGTGACCTTGATGGTCAGTATTCTTAAAACCAGTATGAATTGCTGATTGAAACCCATTTGGATTCCACAATATGATATATTTTCATGTAAAACAAAAATACTTTAAAGTTTCCACAAAAAGCAGAACAATTGTTTTTGACATTGATAATAATAAGAAAAGTTTCTTGAGCACCAAATCAGCATATTAGAATGATTTCTGAAGGATCATGTGACACTGAAGACTGGAGTAATGACTACTTTAATTACTGCATATTTTGATCAAATAAAGTCAGCCTTGATGAGCATAAGAAACTTCTTTTAAAAACACTAAAAACAGTATTATAGCAACAAGTAGAAGAGAATTATATTTTGTGAAAACCTTGTTTTGTTGGAATTCAATTTTTTATTTACTTTTAAATTTGCATTTAACTAATAGTCTGATGTACTTGCCAGACCATTTGGCGTTTCATTTGCACCGGTATTTTTCTCCAAAAAATGCTTGATTGCTTTACAAATTCAGCTTACTCCACAGCAGCTAGAAGTGTTCCTACATCAGTAAATGTGCTCATATCATATTCATGAACTTCAGAAAAAATATTCTGCATGCATATTCTGCAATTAAAACATCAAAAAAGGCTGTTCTCATTAGAGGGTGAGTAGGGAGTTCATACACAGTGTCTCTCTTAGCCACAAAATGTTAGTCTCTGCAGGTGTCTGTGAAATGGAACTTCTCTCCTCTGTGCCTCAGGCCATCGGCTGTCATTAAGCAGAAAGTGAAATAAAACTGTTCCCTCCACCAATTACTGAAGGAGAAAAATCTTCATAATTCAGCAGGAATACAGATCTGCTAGCGCAGCTTAAACAGTTTGAAGACACAAAAAAAGATTTGTAAAACATACTTTCAGGGAGGCTCCATTCACAAGATGTTCAGAACAGGAAGAATGTTGAGCTGACATTTCCCAGAATGCCCTGAGTGGTAATATCTGCAAATTATACAGTGACTTTCAGTGAGGTCAAATCTTTTAAAAATGAATTTCTGCCATTTTCAGGATGCGCGCTGTTGAGGTTTGTCTCGTGCAATTCAAATTGTCTTTCGGTGCCGCCAGCACAGAGAGCTACATATCAGCTCTTTTAAAGTGACAATGAAATCAGAGTCGGCCCACTGGCGTACGGGACACCTCCGTGGTGCGAGTGGGGGGGCGCAGATCCCATGTGAGGCCTACCTCATAGCGCTATGAGCTACATATATTATGGTTCAATTTGTCTGTCAAGAGTGATTTTTCTCTGCATAGAAGTCTAAATCAAATTCAAAGGTGTCAACAACTAGCAATAGAACAACATAAGGAAATAATTTTCTCTTCTGGCTGTTTTAACGCTGATCTGAACATGCCCTGAGGTGTGAGTCTGGATATGAACAGAGGTGTAAAGTATTGGAGTAAATGTAATTAGATACTGTACTTGAGTATCTTTTCGGGTACTTTGTAGTTGTACCGAGTATCAAAGATATTAGCAACTTTTACTCTTTACTTCACTACATTTTTGAATGAGTATCTGTACTCTTTACTCCACTACATTTGAAATGAGTGTTGCAGTTACACATTGAAGGAAAGAAACAGTGAGAGAGACAGCTGAGATGTTTGCTGAGATGCACCACTGAGCTCTAGCCTATATTACTGAGCAGGGCTAATCAGAGGAGTGAAAGGAGAGAGGAGAAAATCCTTGATGCTGTGAGCACATCCTCCTGCTTTCTTTTCGTGCCGCAGCTAAGAGTCATTTTCACTGCTTGATCCCCATTGGCTCAGCTCTCGCTGAAGGCCGCTGGGCTTCCTCTTATTGTTACAGAAACAGATCACCTTCTGCTCATTAATTTCATAATGTTCATGCATATTCCTTCAAGACTTCAACTATGTATACTGTATGAGCCACTGCATATATATTCTGACTGAATAATAATCAAACAATCTCCAAGAATTTTCTCACCATCCTTTAGGTCACCTCATTTCCATACTTCTAGTACAAATAGGTATGAAAAGTAATGAGCATTATAATTAAAATCACACCCTGGAATATTTCTTCTTTTATATTATCTACAGATGGAGCCACAATGTAAGTGCTATAAGGGAAAATGCTTCTTTTTCCTTTTTTTTATTAAATACAAATTTGTATTTAATTGCAAATGTACTTTTCAAATGCAACTGTAAAGTGTGAACTATCCATTTTGCTCAAAAAGAGTTAAAGAGTATGCAAGTCGTTTTAATTGAGTCATTTAATTCCTTTGTTTGTGAATCGGACTACATTGATCGTGCTGTAAGTTTTTGATTCACTAAAAAGAATTGGTTTAAAAGAATCATTTGTGAATAAGACTACACTGTTAATGCTGTATGGTTTTGATTCACTAAAAACAATTGTTTAAAAGTCATTTGTTCATCAATCTGATTCTGCAGGTTGTTCTGTATGTTTTTGTGTGCAGCTTTTGAGGACAGTTTAATAAAAAGTTGTGCTTCCTGGCCTTCCTTTTTATCTTGTCACATTCATAATGCAAACAGGTTAAAATATAACTTTTGCTGTGTTGCTGTAGATTTTCAGCATTAGAATTTGGTGAAAAACTTGGATTTACATATGTATATTTGTATTTGGTATTTTCTCCTTTTGCCTACAAGTACAATTTAAAAACAAAAAAGCTAAATGTTTATTTAGAAGTTTAAATTATACAGTATTTTGAATCTGTATTTCAGAAGAGTTACAAAAGACCCAACACATTTTTTGACAGCTGAAATAGTGCGCAAAATAATGTATTATTTATTTTAATCCTAAAACTTACCTACCCTGAAGAAAATAGTGTAGAAACAATTTTCATTCAGAAATTGTTAGTAAATTTAACTATTTTAAAAAGCCATTAACACACTGAATTAGATGTGAAATTTTGAAGTAGAAAAACTGAAATTATGGCAATGGATAGGTTCTTTTCATCGCCATTACAGTCAAATAACTGAACATAAACATAGGAGCCTGAGAAAAATGATCATTTTAGAAGAAAATTTCAAACAGCACTTAAAGGCTATTGCATCTCTCTTTTACTTAGAGGCTTTTGCATCAACTCTTCATATATATATACATACAGTATATTATATATATATATAATAGAAAAACTTAATTTTGTTTTTCTTGAGCCATTCAGAGGTGGACATGCTGGTGTGTTTGGGATCATTGTCCTGCTGCATAACCCAAGTGCGCTTGACATTCTCCTTCAGGATTTTCTGATAGAGAGCAGAATTCATGGTTCCATCAATTACGGCAAGTCGTCCAGGTCCTGAAGCTGCAAAGCAGCCCCAGACCATCACACTACCACCACCATGTTTGACATGAGGCCTGCAGTTCTTCAGATGTTCTTTTATGACCTCCTGGATGAGACGTCGTTGCACTCTTGGAGTAATTTTGGTAGGCCAGCCACTCCTGGGAAGTTTCATCACTGTTCCAAGTTTTCTTATATATTCAATGTGGTTTCACACTTCAGGGCTCTTTATTTATGCAAATACTGGGTATGACTGCACCTACATGATGGAAATAATAGATTTCTCCAGAGCACGCTGTCAGGATGAATCAACCTCGGCTGAAAGGATGTTTCCACAAATCGTTTAGTAATTCTACATTTTAAGGAAGAATGAACAAAGGTTGCTATTATAGACAGGGTTCGTACGGTCATGAAAAACCTGGAAAAGTCATGGAATTTTATTGGTAAAAATGTGTACGAACCCTGTATAGAGTAGGGTGAGGAGTATGTACTGTGTTCATCTCATGAGTGCTATAGGGGGGTATAGGCAGATGTTACGAGTGCCGAGGGACTGAGGACACTGGATGTTCTTCAGGCTTTGTGAAGCGTGGTGCACAGGAGATTGACTGTGATTAACAGCATCACTGGTGGTTGTTTAAACCTTTTCTCAGGCTTTACGGTGTCAGCACAGCTCTCTTGGCAGCATGTGTGCGGGCATCTGTGTGTGCGTGTGTAGTGGTGAGTATAAAAACAAAGCAGGTGTCTTGTTCAGATTTAGACTATTTGCATCTACTGAAGCGTTGCTGCACCCTACCTTCAGTAATCTCCTGTTACCTTGCGTGTCTAAACACACACACCCTGATCTTTCACAATGATAACAGAGATTGCATGCCTAGTTAGACACAGATGGTGACTGCACAATTGACCACACTTTAATCGTTAACCTTCACTTGTTATCACCAGAATGCGTTATTCCTTGGAGGCATCCAGGGAAGAATCCATACATAGAGGGCAGACCCACTGTCCTCAACTAACCAGCATATTTGCATTTACCAAATCAGTCCAAGTGCCCTTTGCTAAAGACACGTTCCAGAAACAAAAAGGAATCTGCCTGTCAGGTCTGTAGTTTTGGCAGTAAAATGTTTCTAG